GTTATACCTTTTTCAATAACGACATCTAACAAAAAAGGTTGGTGGATCAAACGAGTTTATGGCTATTACAAGGACAACATGCCATCTGAAAAAGGCGAGTAAGAGAGAAGAGAAAAATTGAAGAATTTTGCAAGGTTTCCTTCAAGACCTCCTATCTTAAGATACTGATGCTTCATATAAGGATAGGTAGATATACTTGGCTGGAATCATCAAAGCCTATATCTCGGAGATTATTTTATGTACTTGTAGTCCTATTGGTTCAGTCACCCAAGTTTGGAACTTCTGCTAAATCAAAATTAATGAATAAAACTGCCACAAAGCAACGATACCGCTCGTATCTTTTGAAAAAACGACGCGCACTCACCCGACTCATGCAACATCACCGTAGCGTGGCCATACCTCGAAGGGCACCATTCGACTCAGCTCGGCGCGGGCATTTTCTCATAAATGGAAGTGCGCGCTTTGACACAGTAGGAGGCCAAATTTCACGAATCGTTTCAGATTTTTTGCTTACTTGATTGCCCAGAGATCGCAATAAATAAGCACATAATAAGCAAAAATCTGAAACGAGTCGTGAAATCTGGCCTTCTACTGGGTCCAAGCGGGCACTTCCATATATGTGAAGATGCCCGCGCCGAGCTGAGTCGAATGGTGTCCTTGGATTACAAATTCGTTTACTCTTAAAGGCAGCGTCCAGGCAGATCTGGACCTAAAGGGCTCTTACGTGGAAAGTACTTTTGGGGCCCTAGCTAAGGCACTGCCCAAGCGGCAGCTCAGGTAGTGCTCTAATGGCTGAGATATGCCCCTCGAAACTGGCCCCCGCGAACGTACTCGCATGGATTCATGGCAGTTTCGCGCCAGGATCCACGCTTTGCGCCATGAATCCATGCGAAACACGGTCGCGGGGTCCAGTTTCGAGGAGAATATCTCAGCCATTACGGCACTACCTGAGCTGCCGCTTGGGCAGTGCCTTAGTTGGGGCCCCAAAAGTACTTTCCACCTAAAAGCCCCATAGGTCCAGATCTGCCTGGACGCTGCCTTTAAGCGAGATATGGCCAGCTACGGTGATATCACATGAATCGGACGACTATGTCTGTCTTATTCGATTGGGGCAATATTGTATGACATCAAGTGAATTCCAACCTCTAGTTATTTGCTTATTAGGTGCTTCTTGAGCGTCTGCGCTATACATTCCGTTTCGATTTTACCATCTTCACTTATCCCAACTTAAAAATCGCCAAAAATTTGGTGCTCTCACATTGTAGGCTATCACTCAAAGCGGTTTTCGCAAAACCATTGCTTTCATCCATCAATACCTGATAATTTTCCAACTCTTGTACTGACGTCTTCCCAAGCGGATACCTCATTTTTTGAATACGCGATATTTTTGAGCGCCTCTCTCCTCAACTGGCGTTCATTGATATGTTTCTTCACAATTAGATGGACTTAGTTCGCTCTAAACAAAAACAAAACATTTTAACAAACCTAAATCATTTCGCATGCATGACATCACAGAACAGGCTTAAATGTTGACTATGATTTGACCTAATCTTACATTGCATAAAAGCTGATAGAATATACTGCTGGAGGCTAGGTACAAACATAGTAAATATTACTTTGTCTCATTAGCCTTTTCCTTTTTACTTTACCCCTTCAAGTCAGGTCTTCTTGATTTTCAAATTGATTTTGCGGTACCGTTCGATACCACAACAAGCTCTACAAGATAGCTGCCAAGCATTAGTAGAGTTTGTACTACGTAAGTTTGAAGCCAGAACTTAAAAAGGCTCTAAATATCGGAAAGTTGAGAAAGAACCGTAGCTTCGTTTAGAAAAAACCGGACTTCTGCTTTACTCATGGATAAATTTTCCACATAATTTTCCACATTTACATGTACATTTGCTTGTTTTTTCTGCATAACTAGATATTATAAAAACAATAATTCTTATGTATCTACCGAAATAACGCTGAGCTATCTCACATAGGTGATTTGAAACATGAAGCCGAAAGTATTACTATGCATTTCAGCCTTCCACAAGTGTTAACTTTTGAGAAACAATGAATTTAGCCCAAAAAAGCCCAAAAAACTTTTTCCTAATGGTCTGTGTTGGCCTTCTAGGTACTTAAGACACACAAGGAAAAACCACATCAGTAGCACATATGGACGTTTCATGTAAAATTATATGACTGAGCAAGTCAGGAGTGTGCAGGATTTTATCTGGACAAAAAACGCTTTCTTCTCATTCGGACATTCATAACTCTTCAGATTTTGGCTTCAAACCATATGTGGAACACTTCTTGCAAATACTTGGATGCTATCGTGTAGAATTTGATTTGCGCCAATGACTGCAAATTGATTTGAAAATTAAGAGGGCTCTAACTTTTCGCGAGAAAAAGTATGAACAGAAAAGACTTACGAGACATCCCAATAGTATGAAAGAACATGAACTAAAATCCCTATTCTTCCATCAGCTTTGAGCGATAAACGAGTATCGGTAGTTTGCGCCACTCCTAAGCGATCTGTAAGTATGGTAATTCAATCTCAATGGATGTTTAGCTCATAACCTCTTCTTCGAGCAGAGCGATTCTCTAATATCCAGAACCTCACACTCCTGAGTTCTTCCTTAGTCAGTTGCAAACTTCTTTGTTTTCCTAGTAGACTTAGAGTAATATTCGATAGAGCAAAGCGTTCAAAATGAACGCCAAAGATTTGCCTAATTCGCTCAAAATCGAAAAAAATTTTCTGCCTGAAAATTGGATTTTGCGAAAAAAACCCTAGGATCTCCAACTTGTCATTATACACTAGGCACATAGAATTAATCTAATATGCCTTTAATGAATTTTTTCCACGCATAGAAAGCGAGAAAAAAGGAAAGTTCAAAAATGGTAAACTCCCCCCCCCTCCCCCCCAGCCCTGCCAGATATGTCAGTGTATACTATAAGTCTCACTAAGAATGGTCTGAAAACTTTATCCCTGTATGTGCTCTTATAATCGAAAAATACCAAGTTTACATGAAACCCGGAAAAAGCGGCATTTTGATTCCGGACCATCTTTGTTCCCCAATTTTGAGCGCCGGAGAAAATCCACCAAATACATTCGGGTACTATTACGTGTCTACGACGTAAAGTCTTGGGATAGCTGAAAAATTTTGATTTTTGGCTCCAAATTCTATCTGGATTACGACTTAGGTGGGTCTTTGGTGGTGTTTCTACAGAGCTTGCTCCGCTCTATCGAATGTACCCTTTTGCTAGGAAAACAAAAGCAGCTTAATTTATTTGAAAATGGAGTTTACTTTTAGGACAACCTAATAGTAGAGCTCACCAATACATCCCATTTCTACATAACACTCTACTTTCTTTACTCAAATATGTCAGTTCCTCTTTTTCGGAATGCATTTGTCGCCCTTCTCTTCCAAATTAAAATCGAATAGCCACCACGATGTTTTGTATTGTGCAGAATGATGTCGTTAAATGCTCAGGAGTGATTCTATTGTTAATGAAAGTAAAAAATTGAATTTGAATCGGGAGATAATAATTAATTTTTCGTTGAACTACAAGAAGTTTAGGCAGTGAGAAAGAGCAAGTGTTCAACGAATAAAATAAATGACATCCCTTCGGCTACGATGACCATCAACTGCAGATATTGTTTGTTCCGGAGAGATACGTGGATCAATAAAAAATTTGAACTGGACTGATTATTTGGAAAAATCGCAAGACGTAAAAATTTTTACTGGCTGCTCTTCCACCAGAACCTACCAACGTACTTGCTTCTTATTTAGGAAGACTTCGACCACATTTTTATGTGCTTTCGCGCTCTGCAACAACCCAGTTTGTAGAGAAGTCACGTATCGGGGGCATTTGAGCTTTGATTGCGATTTAGGACACGCCGAACACGTAGCTGCAACCAGCGACATGTACGACTCTCTCGCGTGGCGGCGCACTGGTCACCTGCTGTAGCATAGTTGCATGGCTGGTGACGATACTTGTCTTAGGAAGTGCCGTCTGAAAATCAATGCTTATGATTAGGACGCTGAAGCCGGCAACTTAGACTTATTTATGTTGTACACGGATCAAAAAAATTAGGTTTTTCATGATGGACAAGCATCTGTTGCCGAGCAGACTTAGTACACCAATCCGCTCAATAATTCTGTAAATGTGCGTCTTATATGAAGCTGAGTCTGTTTGTACGCCAAAGTCATTTCCTACGTGTTTATGAACTTCCACACTGTGCGCGGCAACTGACGACACCTTCCTTGTAGATCGTCAGTGAAGACTTTTTTGGCAGAATAAACTGCGGAAATGTGCAGGTATCACTACTCAATATAATAGGCTAGACTAAAAGTTTCGTCTCTCCCTTTCAAGGAATCGTAACTACTTTTTGTTTCGCAATATTCGTGCAAGATATCACTATAATTTGGAAAAGTAAATCATGTACTTTCTAACGAGGTTTTCTTTTCGATAGTAGCTCTGATTGCAGAAAGAAATTAGAGAAAGAAAATCTACTGATTGTTAGATTTACAGTACGGAGCTAATCGCCGATCGCCTTCTCCTATTGTAGGACCTCGGTAAAAACTTTGAATTAGTTTTTAGCTCTTCACAGTCGGAGAACGCTTGCGAAAACCCTTCCAAATTCCAAAAGAGTTCACACTAAGGTTCTAAAGACGCTGATCCTTACGGAAGTATTTCAATAACAATCAGCATTTTTTTAAACCATCTTCAGAACAAGGTTTTTGCTGGCGTTTTCTGGCCGTCAATATCTAAAAACGAGTTCAGAGTCTCTACTGTTTTCCTAGAATAGGAATGAGCGATAGCCAATCGCTTCATATAGCAAGTTAAATAGGATGAAGCCCATCTAAAAAATGGGACCTGAAGTTTCTCCAAAGACTTCATGAGAAGGGAGTTATTAGAAATCAAACATTAAGCACATTTTCTTAGGAACACTCCGTATATCATAACCTGCATCGCCATACATGAGAAGAATTAGTGGAATAGGATGCCAAAGAGTTGAATAATTTATATCGAGGAAAACAAATAACCAGATTGAAAGCACGCTCATTGACCAGTAATCAATATTGAGAGTAGAATGCCTTGAGTTTACAAGATCTTCATAACTTCCACTGTATTCTCAAAATTTTCGGGTATCAGCCTCGATGCTTCCAGTATTGCGTTTATACTGTCTTCCAAGCGATAGACTACTCGTGCAGTGTGTCGGACGAGTGCTGATGTTGACTGCAAATAAGTGAAAGAGTATATGCAAATCAAAATCTGTCATTATCATGAAATAATCATTCTTTTTCTTCACTCAGCCTCTTTTTGTCCCTCATCCAAGCAGCATGCATTTAAGCTTACGTTCCTTTGATCAAATTCATTCATCTTTGATCGTATCAATGACTTTAAAATAATGCAAAATTTTTGCACTACTCCTTTAGAATAGCCTTATTTTTTTACCGACCCAAACACAGTAAGAGTATTAGACACAAAAATTTTACCAGCTTCACATTCACTTGTGGGATTAGCGTAGACAATAAGAAGATGACTGGACCAAAAAAGCTGTGAAACTTTGCGGAGAACCTCATTAGCTAAGCTCGTTTGCTAAATCGACAAAAAAAAAAGAAATCGACAAAAAAGTGAGAACGCTAGTCTAACGGTAAGATGCTTTGACTGGATTGACAAGATAAAAAAATGATGGAATCGTGAGCTTTTTGGTCGGTAGCCCAAATAGAAGGCTTAAAACTGGGTACATTTCGAATCTTTTCTGACTTTTCTTGTGAAGACCATGAATGTTTTGTAAATGATGTTGCTCAAGTACATCTCGATCTAGGTTCCGTCTGAAGCTACTGAAGAGAAATGTAAAAGGAATACTGTTGTATCATATCTACCTAAATCATATTCAGCATGTAAATAAAAAAGAAAATAAATTGTTGATGATTTTGACGCTCCGTAGTAGCGTGATTTATTCATGAAAAAATAATCATAGCTCCATCCAGATTACAGTTTCGCAGATACGGAAAACAATATTCGAACCAGCATTGAAAGGCGCATTTTTTGATATACAAACCATCACGGATGGCCACGATCACCAAGTATCCTTCCCTTGTGAGATATATAATCCAAGAATACTATATTCTGTCCTAAGATACATACTCAAATCTATGCAGTCGTGAAAAAAGATACTTTCAAGATAAGTCGCTCTATGCACTTGGAAACATTAAGCATTAATTTGGCATCAATTAATAAATCAGTTGTTACTTGGTGCATAACTAATTTATTGTCGCATTTATCAGCATTTATAATTTTATCGTCTCTCGATTCGCGCACCTATGTCATAAAATGTATATCAAAGCCATATCCATAAGATCAATTTGCTCTGTATTATCCCGAAAAAAAGGAAAGCAACGTTCTCATACCATCATCAAACATTGGCGCTGATGTAGTAAGAAAACTGTAACCGAAAGCTGTTTTGAGAACTTCTCGAAATTACTGATTTAGAAATGAATTTTGGCAAGCAGCTCCTTCAGGATCAAGATTCAATGAAAACAGCCAGTCGATAATATTTTTTGAAAATCGGATTTTGAGTAATATCAAGGGGTTCAAAAATATCACAACACAATCTTGCCATTCTTCAACTCAAACTAATTAAGTTTATATCTAATTCATTCACAAGAATTTTGTCTTAGAAAGGTAAGTCTTGTACAAATAAAGTTGTACACCAAGTTGCTAACATTGTATTCCTTACTTTTCTTCCTTGTTAAGTCAAGAGGACCACTTGAGCGTCACACAGCATCATATAAACTACTACGAAAAAACTTTCTACAGTTTGCGGACTAGCCAAAACTAACGCAGCGCCTTCATAGGCTCAGATTCTCTCTTACCCCAATTATCCCGATGAATAAGCTGTTTTACAAGGAGAACTTCCGATTCTACGAGTTACACTGCTCGAACCATGACTTCGCTTTTCTTCCCCTTGGCCATGAAAATGTTCTAGAAAAAATGCGATTCACCTGCACACTGGCCATAGTATTGTCCAAACACCTCTCCATATCGTCTACAGCCTTCATAGTTGGTTGTAATCGTCGTACAGAATGCATCAGTGAATCTGAAGCCAGTGTTCTCCAGCGTTGCACGAGCTTTTCATCGACATGAACACGAGCTCTATAATTAGCATTTGAAATACAAAATTTTTCGCATTTTGTGACAGTAAAGTTCTGAAAATCATATGTCAAGAACTGAATGGGAGACAAAAGGCCTATCTGTTTCATAATTTTCGACATTTACTAGATTTCCAGTACTTATTCTAGAATAAAGCTCTTCCTCGACAATACTCATTCATTCACATCATTTGATTCTTCTCTACTAAAATGCATAGCTTTTTCAAGTTGGTAGTTGTTCTTGCTTCTTACGCTTAAAGGAACCACTCATCATAAAGTTTTAGGTGACAAAAAGCGTGTCTTAAAATGATTTAGCTTTATGTAATACTTCAAAAATCAATTGAAGACCTTTCTCGGTCCCACAAAAACTTTTGAAAATCCGTAGATCAAAAGTCATCGCTTGAGTCAACTGTCCTCTCCCAGTTAACTTCAATGTTTGCCAAGCGCTTCGACTGTCATTCAGGAAAAAAATCGGGCTTTTCATCACTTTTTTGCCGATTGCGCGCCAAAAGTACAAAGGCGGAAGGCTGTCAGTTGTCCCTCAAATACAAATCTGCCAGTGCGCCGAAATTCGGAAAGAACAGTGCTTTGTCCTTTTTCCTTTGAATGAGTCAGTAAAAGGAAGGAACTTGATAGCCCAAGTACAAATATGGACAAAAACGTCAAAAAATCTTTGAAAAAATACATGAGGTAATCCCTAAAGTCTTTTTTTTGTAACCAAAAAACCATCAGTTTCTCAAAAAAAAAACATCTTTTTTCATAAATTTAGGCTCATTTTTAAAATTTCTGTTTTGGTGCTGGAGCACCTAGTCCTTTATGACTTCCAGATACTATGTTTCCATGAGTAACGAGCACCTTGTTAGCATTAAACAGCTAGTGATCAAACCAGAAGCTTAAAAAACATTTTCCAGAAGCGAGTGAGCCTGACGTAGAATTTTTATTAACTACGCAATTATACTGAAACTTCGCAAGTTTGAAATACAAAATACTGAAGGAAGCTATAGGCACAGTCAGTTCCAAAGGTTGAGAATTTTGCAATGATCATCCATCACGCAAAAATGTTCAACGAAAGATTTTTATTGTTCAAGATATTATCAGCTGAAAAAGTGAACTGTTTCGTGACCTACAATGTTTTCTAATTTGCGGTTGTAAAAAAAATATAAAACAATAGTGGAATGACAACACATTGAAAACATATGTTAGAAGCTATCAACGAAGCTGATTGAACCATTAGGGACCCGTCATACTTCGCTTAAAAAAAGCCCAAAAGCGCTCAAAGAAGCCCGAAAAAGCCCAGAAAGCCCAAAAAGTCCGAAAAAGCCGAAAAAAGCCCAAAAAGTCCGAAAAACCCGAAAGAGCCGGAACGCAGAAACGAAATTATGGTAGAATTCTGACGTTATTTTGATGTACTGACGACAGAAAGTGATGCAAAAAGACTCGGTTGCGAAATTAACACCATGCCTTAGCGTCAAAAAGGAATGGGGGCGTTCCGGCTCTTTCTGGCGCTTTTGGGCTTTTTCAGGCTTTTTTCGGCGAAGTATCACGGGTTCTTTAGAATATTGGTTCAATCTTTTGCAGAAACTCAAACCAGAAAAAAAAGCTGCCAATAAGCTGTCTCGCCATTTGCTCATTGTTCGTGTTGGTGCACGTTAACAGAAAAGGATAAGCTCTGCGAAAACCTCCTTTCCTTTCCAAAAAAAAAGTTGATGAGTATAAATAAGCCAAATTTACTGTAGTTCTTATACTTCCTTAGCAGCTGCTTGTGCAATTGCGGATGTCGTAAATTTGCTCCAAGTACACATCAACGCAAAAAACCCCTTTTGCTATGCATCCCTTTCTCGTCCCCACCCAAGAAAAATGCTGTGTAATACTGCTACCAGAATGACGCTTTGTAGCATTATATTCGTCATTAGCTCCCTTCCCTCCCACGATTCTTCCGTGCCAATAACCGCGCATCCGCTCCAACTATACGAATCAAATGTTTTCCCGCGCGATGCAGAAATCAAACAGATGCCGATAACATGACGAAGAACCTGATATCGCTACGAAATCGCATCGAAATGCTTTTGAAACTGGTGCACAACGATGACGTCAAAGACAGAAGGAATTTTTTAGAAGAGGTTGCAGACATGCGTTGTTCGAAATACATAATTAACTAAACTTGAGGATGTAGCATGGCTCGACGCCTGCAACACTCGCAGATCTTCAAAAATAGTTCTTCAGAGACTGATTCATCGTATAGGTGATCTTAATAAATTGACTTCGTCGTCAAAAAATTCTTAAGTCAGTGATGCCGAGGAGTGGAGGGATGGGGAAGGAGGGGGGGGGGGGAAGGGAAGAGACTTAGGGCCGCATGCACTAACCTCCCCGCTGGGGAGGGGATCGCAGCTAAAATGAAAGCTTTATATTTCGAAACTCCAGATACCTGGATTTCAGATAGTGTACCTATCCGTACCCCTAAAAAATTTTTTTAAAAAGCTAAATTGATTTTTTTTTAAATTTTGAAAATTATTTTAATTACCTACAAGTATAAATAAGTCTTTTGCACATTTTTACAACCCATATAAGTAACTTTCAAAAATTTCGCGACCCATTTTCGGGGGGGGGGGTCCTACTACCCTTCACTATGAACATGTTGAACAGGAGCGAGAAGCTGTACGAATCGCATTTTCCAGCTTTTGTATGATCCCTGATGATCCCCAGCGCTTTTCTTTAAAGTCATTTTTTCTTTCTCCGAAATTAACGAAAACCTTCCAAAGTTGTGCTGAACATCTAACACAACAGTGCTAAGCATGTTGCTGATGAGAACAAATGAGTTTTTGAAAAGTCGAATTTTTCGGTAAACCTCAAATTTCGACCTGTGGATCATCGAAAATTTCATGACTTCAAAGCATCATTTGTTCTTATCAGCAACATGCTTAGCACTGTTGTGTTAGATGTTCAGTACAACTTTGGAAGGTTTTCGTTAATTTCGGAGAAAGAAAAATGACTTTAAAGAAAAGCGCCGGGGATCATCAGGGATCAAACAAAAGCAGGAAAATCCGGCTTGTACAGCTTCTCGCTCCTCTTCAACGTGTTCATAGTGAAGGGTAGTAGGAATACTTACGGATAGGTACACAACGTGAAATCCAGGTATCTAGAGTTTCGAAATATAAAGCTTTCTTTTAGGCTGCGATCCCCTCCCCGCGGGGATGTTAGTGCATGCGGCCCTTAGAAAATCTAGACCTCATAGAAAAATTTTCGGGGCCTCCTTCAAAGTTCGTACTGGAGACTTCCGACGAATAGGAAAATCTTCTCAAAAGAATGTAAATCTTGTCGCGCTCAATCCCTCGAAAACATTTTCTTGGATCGTCACGCTGCACAGCATTATACTCTGACCGTGAGATCCATCTAATTTTGAATGAGCAAAGATTAATACTAATTATGCTAAAGAAGGAGCACCATTTCAAAATCTTGCCCTGATAAAAGTGGATAAATAACACTAAATGTTTATCAGAAAATGTCTAGACTTTACATATTAGAAACCAAGGAAGTGCTTGCTACTAAGAGTAATCTGAATCTCCTTCCAGAACATTTTCACTACTTCTAGTTTTTTACATACATTCAAAGAAGAAAACCACCTTTCGGGAGGAATATAGTGACCAAGTAAATGATAATTAGAGTTTGAAGAAGCTTGCCAAGAATTTCAAGAAAAAAAAGGAACAAGTTTTCATTGGACATATTTTAGCATAAAATAAAGAAATTGAGTATCTTTCCCAATTGTAAAATTTTTAGTGAAGCAAGAACGACTATCCACTTCCTCAGAGCACAATTCTTAGAATAGGAATGCTGGTGAAGAAAAAAAGAGGATGAAGGGCAAAGAGTTTGGAAATCTAACTCTTGTAAGATAAAAGTTGCTGCGCACAAACATATTCTAATGAAATGTCAACACATAAGAGTGTAAATGAGCGAAGTATTCATTTCTTCGTTTTGGCTTTTTTCTTCTACCGTAGCGTTCTAGCACTTTAGTTCTTTCTCTCACAATCAGTATTCGCTTTGTTTCTGGTCGGTAACCTTTACTATTTGAATACAAGCAAATCATAACATTGTGCGTAGTTATGAGATTTTCAATACTCAATTTTTAATTGAGAATATTACCGATCACTGGTATTTTCTAGTTGAGTATAATGACCAGTCAAACTTCTTTGCCTCTTCTTTTGCAGCACTTCTTTTCGCAGAACAGAAAAAATAACGAAATAAAATTATCCGAATATTTAGAGAGGTAAACTCGTGTTCGTCGCAAGAATCCAGTAAAAATCTCGCTATTTTTTTTCTTAATGATTGAGATCGTTGGCACCCCCTTAAAAATTTCACTGCAAAAAGCGCCGAAAGCAAACGGCGAAGTTCATTCTATGGCCTTGGCAAAAGGTCGTCGTATCGGAGAAATGGCCGTTGCACTTTCGCAAAATCGAGAGCGATGAAAGACACGCTGAAGGTCAGCGAATTTTCTTTACGAAAGAGAGACGATCAAGATTGGAAAAGAAATGAGTCATGACGTATAGAAAATTGCTCACTTCTCGGGAATTTTTATCACTTCCGGTACAGTCACATTTTTTGACGGTGCGGGGGTGAAATCATCACATTCTTCATCCGTTTCGGGTGCCTCACCCTCTACAACATTTGATTTCTTCAATTTTGTTCTCGGCGCAATAACTGGCAATTCATCGTCAGTTTCTGGAGCTTCGCCTTCGACAACGACAGATTTAGTCATCTGTAATGTAAAATTATAAGAAAAGCAGCCGAATATTTTGAACATAAAGCACAAAATAATGTCGTAAACTAAGAGTTATGAGACTGAGCAGCTCAAAATATTAAAAAGTGTGAAAATCATTCAAAACTTTGAAAAATGAGAATGCGATGGGGAAAAACTCGAAAAATTGGATCGATAAGCCAAACGATATCAGGCCGAATGAAAATAGGGCCATATCAGATGTCATGCTATGAACTGTGGTCTCTTGCCCAACTATCCAGAAATCTGGCGATGGGCCAGTGTGAAAAATTTTTCTAGTGAGATAATTTGATGAAATTTATGAAAAACACTCAACATTCTAACAAAAAAGCTCAAAGTCTCACATTATACTTATTCGACAATTGAATCCCAAAAAGTTGGTTACATTATAGGAGATGGAGGGAAGTTCCTGCTCTATTAGTGATTTTTTGATGTAAGGATATACATGAATTTTGAAAACTACTCAAAATATAAGCAATGAGTTACCCGCTTCTCCTTTATGCTCAGAAAATTACCCAGTTTGAAAAAAATGAGCCCTACAGCTGCGGCAATAAGAGTACTACAAATCTGTTTACAGCATGCACTTGGTCCTCAGTCGTGTATCCGATAGAAATTCATAGGTCATTAATTGTATCCCATATTCGAGCTCCGCTACCCAATCACAAACTCATTCATCAATGTAATAAATCTGTCTGCTTATAAGCTTGAAAACAATTTGTTGTTAAGACCATACAAATAGGAAATGGAGCTCATTACCCGCATTAGTATCAACGAATATCTCCAGCAGTTTATTGCAGTCTATCGAAATCTTATTACACACGGTATAAGATGCGGATTAAAATAGATTGTGAGATTTATAGATCTTCTCTAGTCAGCTCTCAATGAGTGATTATTTTCAGGCAGATCAGATGGTTTGTTAGGCTGGCTTGAAAATAATCTGTTTGACGTTCACGAAATTACAAAGTTGTGTACAAAAGCATAAAAGCATAGTGGGTCGGGAATCAATGCTATGGAGTCAGATAGTGGTATTTTGAGTAGAAAACATTTTTGGCGATGAATGGGATACAAAGATTTTTCCGAGAATTTTCATGAAATCGTGCTTCAAAAAGCAAAAAATTCACATGAATGGAGAATCGGCTGGCACATGAATGACAGTAATATCAAAATGTGACTCTCCGAATGAAAGTGGCTTCCGCTCACGGTTTAGTACGAGGTTCCGAAAATGCAACTTTCCGAAAATGCAAAAAACAAAGTCCCTCTTGGCTTTTCCAAAATTTTACGAAGTCCCCTTTGACCTTAAACCATAAAGTTAAAGAAGAACATAGACTAAAAAACGTAACCTAAGTTTTTCGCCCACGAAAAGCGATATCCCCTTTGCCTTTTGTCCCAAAAACGATATCCAGATTGCTTATAAGCAACCTGTGCTGCAAGCCACCAACCTTCCGCTCACAAATGTCCAAAATTTTTACATTTTTGTTTGAAGACTTCCACAAACAGCAGATACAAATTCAATGGAGTTTACCATGCAGAGCTTGTATGTCAGTCCCAATTTACTTGTTTCTGCAATCACTACAGCATGAAAACGAAACAGAAAGTCAACAAAGTAATTTTTTTGTCAAAAGCTATGTGGTTAAGTTTTCAATGCTAATGGGAAAGCTTTTGCTGATTGATTAAGTGTTAAAAAGGTCGTTTCACATAAAAAACCTTACTGTTAGCTAAGTAGCACATAACGAATTTTGATAGAGTTTTGCATTGGCATGAAATCCAAAGCATTTGTAGCCAACCTAGGATGCTACAAAATTCAAGTCCATGACTGAACAATTACTTCAACGTCTTCTATCTAAATTGTATTCAACCTAAACTAAGCATGGTTTGTTTTTATTACAAACTACATTGCCAACACTTTTTGGTTTCTGCACAAAGCAATCTAGACAAATTCATGGAACGTACTCATATGAATTGTAAGGGCCACTACCCTATGTGACCATAAAAGCTCAAGGTATTTATGTTGGTGCAAATAATGACCGTTGCAAAGTTTCAATTTGAAAAAGCTATAACTTTCATATTTCCAAATGTAGTCAAGACCACCAGAAGCAGTAAAACTTTCCTGACTTAGCGCATACCTGATCACGCTGATTTCGCAAACGGGAAAAAATGTGCAACAAACAAAGTTTTTTTGAACTCGTTTTTGAGAATCACAAGTAGCGAGTATCCATTTTGAGGCGTCTATTTCTCAGCTAAAATATGCGTCAGGTAAGCAATACTCATCCAGGGCCCAGCAGGAGGTGACATTTGGGAATTTTAGAAACGAAGTCCTCTTTGACATTGCAGAAATTTACAAATAAATTTTAGTGGTTTTTGTAGAGGCACCGCTTAAATTCCACAGAGAACGAAGAGTGCATCAAAGTGAAGAAAAACTAAGAAATAAATAGATAAAACAACAGAAGGCGAAAAAAGGAGGTTTATAAAATATCATTAAAACCGTAGAAGCAGAGAGGCGGAAAACCTGGACCAAGGTTTACTCGTAGGGTACTCGTAGGTAGAGCCTGAACTATAGAGTAGATTTATGTAAAAATTTGAAAAATTATGTGAAGGAAGGGGTGAATTATAACTTTGTTTGGTTCCACGCAACCTCACGGTGCTCTCAGGTTGCGCGGGAGCAATCTAAAATAGAAAAACACTTACAACTCCTTTCAAGAACATAATTTTTCCAGATTTTTTCATATTTTCTTTTTACCATCGTCTCAAAGCCATGCACCAAATTTGATGGCTCAGTATTGCTTAGTTGTTGTAAACAAACTGATTGTTTATTTCTTTTATGCATGAAAAACATGTTAAAACACGTTGGGATTATGTGCAAACAACACTAATCATGTCTGTAACGTGTATATTTACCTGTTACTGGTAAAATGATACTAGAACCTGAGATTAGGGGTCAATAATGGACCGGGCATACTCCCTTCAGTCGCGACGCGATTTGGCAATTTGCCAGAAGACTTCAGATCGAGCACTAGCAGACTGCATATGCATAATGTGTATAAACACGAATTGATGAAATGCCCTATCTTTTGTACATTTGAAATGTACTTACAGTGAGCTATGGACAGTTGGAATATTGCCAAATCGCGTTGCGACTGAAATCGCGTGAGGTCTCGGCCCTTAAGAGTAAGAATTGTGCTTGCTAATATTTTGTCAGATCCGGGAACCACCCCCGATAGCTATACGATTTCCCTCTTGCTTATCCCTCAAAACGACATCCAGCGTGTGAAAGCGCCATCTCTGCTGAGCCCTGTACTCATCCCATACAGTAGCTATGTTATCAAAAGAATATGTTCATCTAAACTTTATTTGTGCCCAAGAAAAAAGAAGCAATGTTTTTTATTTCGATTTTGAGTGCGTATACAAAATACTGGTGAGATTCTTACAAGTGAGGGTAAAGCCCTAATTGCCCACTGTTAGAAAGCCAATGAAGAAAGCTTCCTAATAATATGCATATCGAGAAAGAAAATTTGGTGGGAAAAAGCTGTTCGTAAAATAGGCTTAGAAAATGGGCATCTTAGCGACCTAATATAGTCGCTTCATTTCATATGATCATGTGTGTCATTGCACACACAGTTCACCTTCGGCGTCCCCATCTTGGATTCGTGGGAGAAACAAGCCTTCAGGTAAGTGTTTCCAAGGTGTTCTTAGCATTTTTTTCCTTTTTAGTTATTAGTCACCTCAAATTGATTTAATCGATAACAATAGGTAAGTCTCTTGCGTTTTTGCGATTGCAAATCCAGGATGAGCACGCCAAAGTGGACTGTGTGTGCAATGGCACACATGATCATATGAAATGAAGCGACTGTATATATCAGAACTGAATATATCTGATCCACCAGTTAAATCAAGTAAAATGCGATTTGTCAAGTTCTGAATGGAAGAATGTGCTTTTGCATAGAGTAGCTTGAAACTGAAAATTGCAGAAACGCCTTTCTCTTCCGACAGGTGTATGATTGACGAAATGGAGCACGAAAAACTTATGCATGTGGCTCTACACATAGCTGACAATGACAAGCAATACATCATATTGAAATGTGATGTCAGAACTCAGCTAGCTTCTTTACTTTGAGATGCTCTATTTTTGCAGCATTTCAAAATCTCAAGTTCGTCACGTTTCTCTAGAAAAGTGTATATTTTGCTCTTTTGAAGGGAAACAGCAGCATGAACTTGAAAGCTTAAGGGCCGGGCATACTACACGCGATTTCAGTCGCGACGCGATTTGGCAATTTGCCAGAAGTCCTCGGATCCAACAATAGCAAACTGCACATGCATAATGTGTATAACTTACGTAAACTGATGAAATGCCCTATCTTCTGTACATTTATAATGTGCTTATAATGAGTTATGGACACCTTGAATATTGCCAAATCGCGTCGCGATTGAAATCTCTTGAAGTATGCCCGGCCCTTTAGGCTTTGACCATACATTACCAGTGTTACCTGTGTTACCAGTGTTACTCGTGTCACTAGTGTTAGCCGCCCCGTGTTACCCGCGCTAACAGTGTTACCCGCGTTACCCGGGTCACTAGTCCTACTGATGCTAACGCTTTTATGCTGACTAGCTGACGTACACGGACGCTCGGACCGTAGGTCTGAACACCTGATGCCGCGAAGGTTACAAAATCGTTTCCAAAGCGTCCAACATACCCTTCATGAGTTTTTGCTCTTCTACTCTTCTTCACCCTTCGGCAGGTTCTTCCTTTCTTCTTTCTTGCACCCGCTTCAGACCTGCGCCTACCGTTCCTCTGACTTCTGCGTTGACTTGTCCTTCATCCAGGCTGCATCGTTTTATAACACCACATCATCCTCACCGCGGAATAAAAATGAGCTTCACCACCCGTTACACGAATGTTGGAAAATGCTTGGTGTACATGATGAGCTTCCATTTCTATAGATGTGAGTAAACAGATCAATAAATCGATAGAAGGACCCAGCGAATTCCAGTGAGAAGTAGCCTAAAACCGTCTTCGGGGTCGAAAACATCTGTGTGCAAGCTTCCATCGCAATCGGTTAAGCGGCGCGCGTTTCTATAATGCTCATACCCTCTAAACAGATTTCGAGTTATATATACTACTAGCCGGCGGTCCCGTTTCACTCGGGACTCCAGTTTAGCTAAGAAGAAGTTACTTATACTTACGCTTTTGAGCTTCTTCTGTGCAAAAAGGGCTTTGGAACGAATTGCCCGCATCTTTCCGACATTGAGATTAAAATGAGCTTTACCATTCCCTGGCTACATTATCATGGCAAAATGATTGGTTAGAGCATGTCAAGCCCCTCGTTTTCCCAAATGTAAGTAAATAAATCAACAAATCAATAGAAGGGTCCAGTAAATCGCCGTGAAAAGCAGCCTATGTACTGCGCCGTTGTCGAAAACATAAGCATGCAAAGTTTCAGCTCATTTGGTCCACTCAGAAAAACTTGTATAAAAAACATACTTATTAACAGACAAACACACTTTGAGTTTTTATATATATATAGAGAGAGATAAGGGTCGGGCATACTTCACGCGATTTCAGTTGCGACGCGATTTGGCAATTCGCCAGAAGTCTTCGGATCCAACATTAGCAAACTGCACATGCATAGCGTGTATAACTTACGTAAACTGATGAAATAATGTGCTTACAATGAGTTATGGACACCTGGAATATTGCCAAATCGCGTTGCGATTGAAATCGCTTGAAGTATGCCCGGCCCTGTAAAGATGAGTAGTAAAATGATTACAAATACCCATTCCAAAACGTGATCTCATTGACTGGTGAGTTATACAGGTAACACTAGTGACACGGGTAGAATGTTGCGCTTGAATGAAGGAGGAGAAGTAAGCAGTCCATAAACAAAGAAGATAAAGTAAAGCGAATGTAGTATATGGGAGACACTCATCAATATTAGCAAACATGCATCTTATAATTTTTCTGCACCTCTCACAAAAATTTTTTGTTCATGATTATGAAAAAAAGGATAATAGGAAAGCAGTACAATATTATTTTCTTAACCAAACGTTGATGAGCACAAAAATGGACATTTGCCGACACAACAGCTTATTACCTACACGAAAAACAGATAAAAGCCGCTTGAATTCAACACATGCCTATTGTATCCATGAGCCATGCAATACAAGTAGACTGACTTCCTTAGTGAAAAAAAATGCAAATCGGAAATAGGAAAAGCAACAAGCGATGCGGAAAGTGTAGACTTTGAAGGAGGGATTAGCAGAGAATCGATAATGCCATTGGATTTGGGAGTCGGTGGAGGCAAAAACTCCGGAATTAGCTCCACATGTGAAACGGAGACGATTTCTTATGTTTAATATCGACTAATCTTGGTAAGTGTGGCTTGGTGGAGAGTGCTGTCCTTTTTGAGGGAAGGTGTGAGAAAAAATGGACAAAAAATCGAAAAGAAAGGTCCTTTGAAGATCCTTCAAATAGATAGTGACCTGCATTTGATAGTTTGGCAAGTATACGATCTCGGTCGTTTCAGGCTTCTGAATGCTGCGGACAAATATTTGTGTTTAGTATCGTTGGAAAGATGTAAATTTCTGATTGAGTTAGAATTAATTTCCAAAGGCGCGAAGAAGGTGAGTTACCTCAATTTACTCATTGTGCGCGGATGTTAGAAAAATTTATTTATTTCAAACAAAGAACTTTATTTCGCTAAATAGGAGTTTGTACGTATCCAACTACCAAATTACTCATCTCTACACCCATCACTACATGAAAATAAGCTTAGAAACTCAAAAAACTGAACTTTTGGTAATTTAGCCATATTGGGGCACAACTGTCCTTTACTTGTAGTAGGATATTCCGAGTAGTTGATAGATATATGATAGCAGAAGCTCTGAACTACTTTTTGTCAGAACTCATGGGTAAAAAGTGATGGGTATTTATGGAGATTCGCATGCCAAAACGTATATTTTTTAGCCCTAGTAGTATAAAAAAATATATAATGTGCAAAAATTATATAGCGCGTGATGTTTGAGTATAGAATGTATTGAAAACTAATCCAGAATAAAATGCCTGATACCGAATGTTTCGAAAAAAAATTGGTAATTTTTCAACGAGGACAAAGCGAATAATATGGCGTTGTCAAAAAATGATCTGTTGACCCGTAGATCGAAATTCTTGACTCGCAAAAATTCCTTCTTCCGCAAAATTTCAAAAATTCAAAAATTCAAAGACAATCCAAACAGAGATAATCCGATTACCAGGCTTATGAAGAAATGCTGACTGGCTCGAAATATGCCGGTGTTGAGCAGCATTTGAAAATGTCTGCTTTTTCTTAACGCTTACATTTCAATATGCATGGAATTTCTAGGTATTCGGTGAAAATTTGAAATTCCATAGTCCTTTCTTAAGGTGGAATACGTCTAGCTAGCAAAAAATAAAATTCCTTCAAATATTGGGGGTACGCAGAAATTATGCCAAAGTTCTGCGTGGAATTTTCAGATATTTCGTGATGATTCCGCTTTTCGTCCTCAATGTTGACAGAACTAAAGTATTGTACAACACTATCTCTTTCTTATTTCATTTACTAACTTTTGTGTCCCTCCTAGCATAGGACCCACTAATTCTAATAAGCACTTGAGGTATGTTCTGGTAGAGCTGATGAAACGACTGAATATAATAGTTTATGAAACACTTCCTAAGTTTTGTAAAATTGAGTAGGGAAACAAGAGTGAAATGAAGCATAACAAAAGACATTAGATACTTATTTTCTCTCGATAATATGAATATTAACTTGACACATAGAACTGCATAAAAAAGAATTAAAATTTCGTTTTGAAAATTCTCAAAAAAACATTTCGAAGCACATTTATCTTTTGTAACATCAGTCAAAATTTGTATTTCATCACACACTAATTTCGTTTTGAATACAAGAACGTTGATTGAAAAATCGAGAATCATTTGTAGAAACATGCGCAAAGTATGGTTTTCTATCAGATATAAAGAGAGATGACAAGAAAAATATGATAAAGCCATCAAAACCGAAATGAGAGTTTAGTGGACGTTTTGGTAATTTCAGCAGAAATTTTAGCACCTTTTAAGTATTATTCACCAGATTGTATCATAAAAATATGGCAATGATATATCTTGCTTCACGTCTTTTGGAAACTGCAGGATTTTCTGTACCTAATAGCAAAGCAAGATTCCAAACTCGTATATCAATGTTATAGTTCGCTTCAAGCTTTCAATACTGCAAGGTTTTACTGTAAAATATCAAAGTAAAAAAACTTAGAAAGGTCATAAATTTTCCAGATTTTTGGTGCAAAACCTACGTATCCACCTAATAGAAACACTGGAGTCCCACGAATAATTTAGGCGCATTTTCGCTTTTCTCTGGTGTAATCCAGGAAGTTCATTTGCTTCAATAATTCTTTTTACGATCCTTTTTGAGTATTCAGAACTAGGTAACGAGCAATCAATATGCCAAACACCATTCTGAGGTTTTCTATGGCACTTTTTTCAGCACGGAATTCAGTTTTTGCCCGATACTCTTCACATTTCAGAAAAAGCTTGGCGGATTTTTACGATCTATTTACGCTCTTGAAGCCAGACTTTGAAGCGCCATAAACGTCTAATTCAAGCGAATTTACAAACTAATTGAAAATTCGATAAAATTGTTACAGTATCCGGCATCATAGTCTTTTTTGTTTGAATTGTTCACTCCGAAAGGCATGCTACAAAAGTTGAGAAGACGGACTTGTGGACATTGGAAAAAAATGCAGATTTGTTACATCCTAACATATGATTTTAGACCATCGTCTCCAACAAAATTGAACCTTCTCATCGACAATCACATATCAATATAATTCACATTTTCTCATTATACACTCTCACGAAATTCCTTGCCATGTATTTTTCATCCTACTGCCATTTCGCAGCAAAGCCCATACTATACATCTGCACAACAACAAGTACGTTTTGAACGTTTTATTAGTTTTTTATTGATTTTTAATTTTATGCTCTTTTTTTACGCTTTTCATGCATGTTCTGAACTCTTCGTTAACAATGCTGATGGCTAATGCCTGGTTTCACTAACAATTCGATGGAGCAGACCAGTAAGATTTCATAAAACCAAGCAATCAACGATCAGACTACAGTCTACAATCCACACTCACTCCTGAAGGAAATCGCCCGAGTATGAATAGAAAAAAATTAATGACAATACGCACGGGAGAAATATTGATGTGGGGGAAAAGGTAGAGAACAGTTGAGAGCAGGTGACAGATGCAACAAAACGAGAGAAATTCGCATGTGGGGATCGCTAAGGAGCAATCAGAATAATTAATTTAATGAACAACTCAAAACATTCACTTCCTCGAGAGAGAGTGCGAAAAAAGCGGAACACTCAAATATATTCAAATATATATTCACATACAAAATGACCGTCTGCGCGAAAAGCGCGCGATTAACACGGCCCCCATGAGAGATACACGTATTCGACCAATCAGAGGCGAGCGCTGGGAGCCAGGCGAGAGTGAGCGACGCTAGCGCGCGACAGCGAGCGAGTTCCGCAATTTTGCGTACAATTTGCTCCATATCCATTTCGCACACGCCTCTGATCGTATATATCCGTACAACACCTTGCAACACAAGAACACACTACAAATGACAGACAAAAAGAGAGACAGAGACGCGTAATGTGGAAAACATCATCATATCGAGGACTCCCATAGATAGCTGACGACACGCATTCGATAAGAACTTCATGTGTATAAAGTGTGGATGAAAAGGAATAACAACGAGCGACAATAACTGGGGGCGAACACTCGACGAGTAAGAATGGGACGACTGAGAGGCTCCGTGTCTGCCATTGCGGACACAACAGCATAACGGGCCTCGTGTGGGTGGTATCGTGGTAGAACTTCTCAGAAAAAGTGGCAAATATACACAAAACAGGCTGTACGCTAGTATATAAACACGCTACAGGCTATAATAGTGTTATGGTAGGGTAACACGGATGGATTCGGGGATAACCGGGATGTGGTCTGGTCCGATGCTGACAGCGACATGCGATGGTGCTCAAAAGCCAGCCATCGAACGTTGCCGCGACGGCTCGGAAAGCGTTTATCTGGCGAGTGATAACTCGTCCACCCGTCCTCTCTGGGACACCGTTCAGCGTCCCATTGAGGCAAATCCAGCCAGTACAGCCACGGCCATTTGTTCCTTTTCGGAAAGTTGATTGAGGTTGAGAAGCCTCAAGAGAGATTTGTCGGCCAGTTGATGGGGATCTTTGAATGGAGGTGAATGCGGACGCATGGACACTTCCGTTTGTGGTACTGGCGATAACTCGGACATTTCCGACACCTGAAACGCAAAAACATTGGTAAATTGTGGAAAAGTGGGTTATTTGGCTAACTACATCTTCGAGGAAAAACCTAGCCAGGTTTCTAGGCCAGCAAATGATCTAGATTTCGGATAAAGTAACGAATTTCTTCACTACGCGCTGCCTGTGCGGACTACTGGTCCTCAAGCAGCATGCAACAGCATGTGCAAAAGGACCAGTAGCCCTCAGAGTTGCCACTTTTTAAGATCCGTTCCTATATTCCATAGATGACTTGCCGTGACCCTCCCCTACCCAGCTTCATAGAATTTCAAAGGGCAAATTTGTGCGTCAAAACCAAAAGAAATAGTAATTCACGCGACACCGAAAAACCGCCTATTGTCTTTTTCTTTCGCAATGTCAATCTAGAAAATTGTCTCGGCATTTCCAGCCATCCAACAAAGGCAAACATTAGCCTAGCTCAAATCCACATTTATTTGAATCAAAAGCCACCTACCTCACTATCCGAGGCATGTGCAGGACTAGCCGAAATACTTGACGATGCCCAAAGTGCTTGAGCTTCCATTTGTTGTTGGGCTATTGCTTGCTGTTGCAGTTGCTGAAAAACAAATTAACTCAAGCAATTCTAAACCTAGTCGTGGGCGGAAAATTGGGTTCAATACTTACCATATACTGCTGTTGAAGAGCTTGTGCTTGTAGCAATTGTTGTAAAGCCAAGGGTTGTAACATGGCTATTAGGAGGGGATTGTATTGGGTCAAGCCGTTCGCGTTCGCTGGTAATGAGCCATTAGCAAGCATTTTTGCCGCGATCTCGTGCGGACTGAGCGGAGACATCAGGGATGAGCGCATGTCTGGTATTACCTGAAAAATAGAAAGGTTTCGTTCGGAACTTCGAAACTCAAAGGCACTCGAAAACTGAGCTTGGTGAGATTTCAATGCAGTACCATAGCGAGCCTCTGCTTAGCAACTGCCCAAGTCCTGTTGCAAAAGATGTACTATGAAGCGAGAAAATCACCTCAGAAGACGGATTTTGCTATGGTCGCCACGCCAATCAAATCGTGTGGCCTAATGGTAATGAGCCCAAAACTAGACTCAATACCTAGAAATGTCGAAAGTCTATCTTTCAACGCGAAAAGCGCATTTTTGACAAGTCTACGCAATCCTGAATTCAGTTCCGTTAGGCTATACCTTGAGGGGCGTGGCGACCTCAGCAGAATTCAACTTCTAAAGCGATTTTCTCACTTCGGAACACATCTTTTGCAATGGGACCTGGCCAATTTACTTGATAAGCGGCCTCGCTATTTTACTGCATTGAAATCTCACCATTAGTTTGGGTGGACGGTGCCTTGAACCCACCACGACCCCAACCTACCTGGGTAGCATTATTTCCGCCCATTTGATGCGGGGGATGGTGATCATCGATGGCTGGCGGGGTAATGGCATGTTCCCGTTGTGGATGACGAAGGGATCCGTGCTGAAGGTGCTGCTGCTGCTGTTGTGGCTGCTGAACGACCATCTTCTCGTCTGTCTCGGGTTGCTGCTGAGCGGCGAGCGCTGAAATGTCTGACATGGACAACTGTTACTCGTCTTCGTCAGCCGATCACTGCACACATTACAAATGCGACGATGGCGGAACGAATCATCGCGATGCTCACTGCATAAAATTGAAAGCTATCAATCATTCAATTCACTCAGGAAAAGTATGACATTTCTCCATAAGGAGCCAAAAAATTCAGCAAAGGAGACCTCGTCTTAGATGTGAGATTTGTGATCGACAAATTAGAGAGCCGTTCTTGAACACCTCTACCTCACCTATCACGCAAGTATGTGCTGTTTTCACACACATAGCCGCCATAAACATACTAAAAAGCTATATTCTATATTCAGAAAGACTGAAGCTTCCTAGATCCGCTTATGACGGTCATACCACGCGACGCCCGCCATGTATAACTCTAATCAGCGTTCTGCTCTCAAATCTTACTTAAAATAAAGTAAAAACAGCACAGTTTAACTCGTTCTCAAAGCAGTCCAATAAACAGAGCACAAGAAAGAAAAGCAGCCAAAAAAAACCGTGAGCAAAGCAGGATATATAGTCAGAGAAGAAAACAAAATGAATTCAAGTGATCATGAGTATGCGCTAAAGAGCTCAAGGTTAGGTTTCTGAACAAAAAAGAGATCGCCTTGACCGCTAAATGACAGCCACATGGCTAACCAGACTCTGAGAATCGCAGAGATCAAAAATCGCGACTTTATAAAAATCATCAATGTGGTAAATCAGTCCTTAACTGCTCAAATAGAATTAGGGGAACCCCAACCTAGTAAACGAACTATTGCGACCAAGTATTTTTTGAGATTTGCCCGTTGTACTGCTAAAATTCTGAGGGCACCTAGTTGAAACCAGATTTATATACACCAAATTGTTTATGAATATTACAATTTACGTGGCGGGGCTTTATGGACAGGATCGAGTAGATTAGAGACCTGCACAAAGATTCAGAGATCCCCGAAAAAGCACCACCACCCAGCAAGAAAACTAAAAAAGACAGGAAATCACCGCAAGTCGACGCTAGCGCACCCACTAAACAAACATCCCATGCAAGTCTAAGTCAACATCTATGGAAAATTTCGCAAAATGTCAGCCGCTGCGTCCACAACGATCAGGAATCGAAGTGAATCGGTGGCAAATGTTGTCCCAGACTGAGAATCAGGACATACATTCAGGCACACTTAACGACATCACAGACGATGGAGGGAACCGGTGTGGTAGCGCCAAGACAACGCGCTATAAAGATGCGCGCGTCGCCAAGCAGGTGGTCTCACCCCGGGTGCGCACGCACCCCCCGCTCGGTCCCCGTAAAAGGGCAACGCATTTCCCAGGCACGGGGAAAAATTTGCGGCCGGCTAGCAGCACGGCTGGACGATTTCGAAATCGTCATTGCCACTGCGCTCGCAGCAGCTGCCATTGTGTGTTGGCAAAATTTTCGATAGCGGGGAGGACGGCGAACGAGGCAGGGGGGGGGGGGGGGGGAGATTGCGAAATCGCTCTCGCTTCGAAAATGTTTCCGAACACACATTCCACAGATATGAAAACAGCCGCACAGCACACATGCACGTTCGAAAACAAAACGAAACACAGCAGATAGACGAGTTGCGGCTGTTCACGTGACAGACGCAACTCGTCGTCTTAAATCATCATTTTTACTTATGTTTGTGAAGAATGAACTGCTCTTGTAGTTTTTGGTCCCGCTCTGACGAAGACTGAAAGATGGGGACGGACTGCGGGGCGAGATCGATTCGGGGATGAGGAGGGCAGCGCGAGAAAAATTGCGAAGAGGGACGACACATAAGAAGAAGAACGGCTGAATTGAGGAGCAGAAGAAAAATGAGTGTACGTGAATAGCGCCCACTCAACCATTCTTCCATCAATCTTGAAAATTGTCCAACTTTTTCAAAATGACGCACGTGCATTGAGGCAAGAAAGAGAACCACAAACTCGAAAAAAAAGCTAGTAAAAAGAAGTAGGAAAAAATAGCCTTTACGTGCAGCAAATGGACGGACCCGCCTACTCACAATCGGGAAGCAAAATTGTCTGTGCAGTTCTCTGTGGATATTTTTACTCCAAATATCTTAATGCTTAGACCAGGAACTTCTCTCCACTCCATGCATGTCTACTAATCTTTTGAATATAGGGCCTTTTTTCCGAAACTACACTGATACAGACATTTTATAACATTTTACTAATTTTGACGTCTTAATGACGAACTAAATAAATGATTCAGCTAATTGTTAACCTTATAGTCACCTAAACCTAACATTATAAAATTGACAGCACTAGTTTTCCCATTTCTTCAACAGCAAGGACACATCACAAATGGTTAGAGTGCTCCGGTTAATTTCGTATAATTTTCTGAGCGCCCCGAATATACGAAATTAGACACCCACCACAGCTCTTGGTTCCAGTAAGACGAAAATAGCTTATAATTGGCTTCTGCACTTTAGCTCGGCGAGGAGGAGCAGATAATTGCACAAACAGTGAGAGGAAGATAGAAAAGTAAGCAACAAATAGAGGGGAAATAGGGAAAGATAAAAGCGAGAAGGAAAATTCAATGGTGCTTATCCAAATATCCACAAAACCCCTCCTTCTCCCCGACCAAATTACCACAAAATTCGTACAGGCGTTCATAGCCAAACTCGGCTAATACTCTTACTAACCGCTATCAAACCGACCATTCCCAGCAGTGATAAGTCATTATCACAACCGAGATAGCTCGTCCTAGCCAATGACATTTTTCCGATAAAATGGGTCAAGTGTTCTCTTAGCTAGTGATTACTCAACAACACCAGACAAGCTATTTTTATGCATGTAGAACGCGATTTTTCTTCATTAGCACTGAAGCTCAAATACTGCTGTAAAATTCACGAGAAATGTCCAACAAAAAATGATTCTTGAGCCCTATAAAAAATGAACGATTGTCCCTCGAAGTGGGGGAATAACTGAACGTAGCGGTCAACGACCCAGAAGAGCAGATGCCAAAACATCTGCTGGGTCGCCGATATGCGCGAAAAACGACCTCACAGTTATCCGGGCACGGATTAACGGTGTATTAGGGACCATTCCATGGGGCAATTTACAGTCTGTCGGTCTACCAAAGGATGGCATGGGATGGCAGCCATTTCAGCAAATAGTTGGACTTATATAGTAACCGGGTTGATGAAAAATAACCTATTTCATTTGAACCCGGCGAAATATGGAAATGTGACAATGCAAAATCACCTTCACTAAAGATTCACGTGGAACAGGTACCTTTCACGGCTTTGTATGCGACATCATGTTAAATATAAAATGCACTTCCTGAATTTTTTTATGAAATCAAATTAGAAAAGGGAGAAAAGGGTTACTGTAATAAGATTGAGCATGTCTTTAATATGAGTTCATAGCGCCACAGACAAAGCAAGAAACTATAACAGATACTAAAGAAGCGATTAACCGTGACACAATGACTGTACCGACAGGCACCCCTCTGCGAAGCACCCTTAAATGGGCCCTTTTAATACACCACCCCCCCCCCCCCAAATCCCCTATTCCCCAAATAATTAGCACACGCACTTTTCAACAAACATTACAAGTTTCGTGCAGAGAGACGTAGAACGTACAAAAAGGCGTTTGTACAGTAATCCGAACGCACTTTGGAGTACACTTTGGGGATTACTGTAGTCGAAAATTGCAAAAACGCTTCACGATTGTGCAACTGGTCTCACCTACATCTCTAACACACCTATTACCGGAGTAAAATCTGAATTACTCGTCATCACTTTGCCATTACACAACCAGTCTCTCTGCATGGAACCAGACCAGCGAGCGATGAGCAAAAGATGTGATTCATTTGATAGCTATTATTTACATAACAACAGTCACAATGAATCATGATGAACAGCGAGGAACAAAAGAAGCAGGAAATCGGAGTGAGAGAGACGGATACGCAGACAAGTCACGCACAATTGCAGACAATAAAGAGTGCATCTATCACCGAAACTGACAGTTGTGATCGCAGCAGTTTGTGTGTCTATGAAAAGAAAATAGACGTGACAATAGAGGTTTCGCTACAGTTTCTGTAAGAATGGTTGGAATGATTTCACATAAAAAAAATTTCCTCAAGTTTGTGCACTTATCAAATTATCTCTAAATGGTTGAAAAAATTCTATTTTGAAGTATTTCATATCCTTTATTCGTGAAAACTTGGTAATTCGTTCTGGAAGTTCTTGAAATTTATGTACCTTGTAGGTTTAGTTTTGTATAGAATTATGTGGCGATATGTAAGATCAAATGAACTGCTTATCATATCAAACCTGTGCGGCATAGAACTTCAAGACTTTTTTGATTTGATTCTAAATAGTAACGTAAATGCGTAAAATCATTGCAAAATCCGAAAAATTTTGCAAGATCCGAAAAATCGTAAAGTGTAACTTTTGCCCAACAAGCTCAAGTGTTGTGTGTAAATGCAGAAGTACAACGCCACTAAACACACATGACCCACTTCTAGATTGATGAGAAAATTACAAAGAATGTTTCGCTGACAAAAATATCTTTGCAAGCTCAAAATCATGGGTCATTTGTGCTCTCAAGTGTTCATCCGAACATATAATTATTTAGCTATCCTAGTGGATCCGGCTTAAGCCAAATCCTTAACTAAAAACTGAAACAGGCTTACAAATCCGGGCACAGTTAACAACACACATCTGACATAAATCCTAGGGCTAGCCAGGCCGAACTGGTCCTCTCAGAACGAGCTCTCCATCTGCTTATACTAAAGCAGACTGCCTCTCCCACTTCAAGTTCGTCTGATCTATTCAATCAATAGCTAACGATACGATGGAGACGGAGCTAGTGGAAACAGGTCTTGTTGGGGATAGCGCAGCCGGGGATGATGCACGGGGGAAGAATGGGGACCATCATAGCAAAGCATCGTCGTCGGGGCTGTGTACGATTATCTGGCTGTACACACACAGTGAGACAAGCACACACAAACGACAACGGCTAAATACTGCTTTCGTAC